GCAAAAATATATTTATCTTAGTCTCTACTCTTATTTTGTTTTTGTTCACCTGAATAATATTTAATGGGTTTATTTTTTAATTGTATTAATTAAATTTTGTTGTGAATTGTATATTGATTCATTAATGCTACTCCTTTACATTACCTTTACACCAAAGAAGATATTATGTGGTTTACACTATAGCAATTTTACAAATGTGCAGTACACAGAGCTATTTTACAAACATATAAAATTTATTTAAAATGCAATATCATATCATAATTGTGAATATATAAACAAGTATCTAAATGGGCATTTCATATTGAATTAATATAAAAACACATTAATGTAGGAATAATACTACAATATGTAGATAAATTTGGACTAAATTCATTCCTATTTCGGAGAGTTTACTAACTTCTGTACAAGTCATATATTTCAATTGCTTATAGTTTGGTTATAGATTCTTTATAACTTATTGATATATAACATATATAGACTTGTATATATTTTGTTTTCACAAAATACATTTTGTTGCTATTTAAATAAATCAAATCAAATGCAAAAATTGTAAATAAAGAGCGTAATAAAAGAAAACTGCAATAATTTACGAATGAATGTATTTATAAAAATGTCGTTATATTGACTTATTTTTCCGAGAAGCACTAAATGCGCGAGAAATATTGTACTAATTATCAATTAAATTATGTCGCATTTAAGTGAGAGGCATTTATCCATGTTCTATTATCACTGACCATTTATAATTTTATAGCAAAAAATTATTTAAAAAAAACCATTTTAATGTTTTTCTCATTATTCTCCATCACTGTTAGGTAGTTTATATCGCCGATCCTAAGTATCCATTTAGGCCTATTGGCTCATTGTGTTACCTATCGTATATAAAAACTGAAGGTTTAAGAATTTAAATTTAAAAAAAAATATTTTTTTTGCTATAAGGTACAAGAATTGATTAATAGTTAGTTAGTTTTTCTTTAAAGTATTTCTATTTTCTTGCTTACTACTTTAATTCTAATTATTTAGAGATTTTACGACCATTGCTAACTAAAGTTAAGTGAAAATTTTTAATGAGACTTCATCCATAACTAGTTGTTTTTTTAAAATATATTAAAAAATTTTATCAACAATTATTTGTTACTTATCAATAATTTGAGTGTTAAATTACTTGACGTAAACTTAGGTAAAACAAATTTGTTTAAAAAGATATTAATTAATATTGACAGATTCATGTAAAAAAATTTATTTTAATATATTAATTTGGTACATTAGCAGATATATTTTTTTTGCATTATCAAAATTCCTTTTTTAAAAACAAAAAAATGTATTGCCTTACATGCCTACTTTGTGGTGAAATAATTAATGTTAGAACAAATGTTAAGGCATCTTACAGTTACATATATTGTTTGTCAATTGTGTGTTTGCCTCTCTTATCCACACTTTACAGCCAATATTAAATTATACATAAACATGTATGCATGCATATTCTATTCATTTTACATAAGTTTTGATCTACACCTGTTGTTGTCCCTTTTTTCCTTGTCCACTAAAATCAGTTTATTACCAATCTCATATTTATATTATTTTAAAAGATCGAGTAAGTGTAATTTCCTCACTTAAATCGTTAACAGTAAGATTTAACACTTGCTGAGCCTACATAGCTAACTGTTAATCTCAAAAAATTAACAAAACAAAGAAACAAATGCATCAAATTTTTGTATATATATGTTTGTATATCAAACACAATAAACTCAACAAATTACACATGTTAAACGATACGCATAACATATTTTGATCTGTTTTTTATGATATATATACTTGCATATGTGTGGCATCTCAAAAAACCACTGTTGCTGTTATGCTAAGCACATCTCATTTTCTTTAAGTATTGTATTTGTTGTTGACTCTTTTCGTTTATTTATTATATTAATAATTTTGTGATCAAAAAGAGACCACAATAATCAAATCAAATCAAGTGCTACTCCACATTAACAGCTGTAGACCCCAAACAGAGATCGCTACAGTTATATGATAGATGCGCTCATCTTCTTTTCTCTTTACTTTTTACTCATTATTCTGTTTTTGCAAAGAGCAAATGCAAAAGCACTCAATGCGTGCTTATACAAACTTTTTAGTGGCGCTCTGTTAATGCCGAGAATTAGTTTTGCTTTGCTTTATTTTAAATCAACGTGTTTGGGTGCCGACTGAAGCAGTTTGTGTTAAGCCTTCACAGAGTTAACAGTGTTTAGTTGGGAGACGATACGGTATGCATTTCTTTTATTTGTTTATATATTTTTATAATATATATTTAGTAAAATAATAGTTTCAAACGAAATGAAAATTGTGCGAAATTGAAATGTATCAACCTTTATTTGTTCTAAATTTTTTTTTCCTTCTGTTTTTAGCAGGAATTGGCGACAGCGGGCTTCTAAAATTTTAAAAATAAATTTTGTCTATTATTAAAATATTATATTTATTTAATAAAAATAAAGGGAAAACAAACTAATTTTTAATAAAATTTTATTCAAAAACATAAATATAACAAAATTTTAGAGTTTGTTAATTTTTTTTTCTGTTTGTATGCCAAACAGATAGGCAAACTAAGTCAGCTGTTTCAATGAAAGCAAAAACAGTCGTACGTATGTACCTCCATTGTATTTAACAAAACACATTCAATTTATGTAGTGTCATTGCCAAAGTACGTATGAGTGCTTTATGTTGAATGGCAACTAAATCAAAATCATGTTCAATCTTGCACAATTTTGTGTCTTGTGTCGGGCGACTAGCACTGGCGTGTGCTCTGAGCGCAATGTGAGAAAAACAAAAAAGATTTGTGTTTATTTTTTTTGTTTTTTTGTGTTCTTACATTCCACTCGACGTTTATCTTTTTTTTTCTATAACATTTGATTATAGAGAGTAGGTTTACCCCTTATTTTATACCGGCTCTACCGGCAAATAAACTGTAACATCGAAAAAGAAATTATTTGTTATGACTCATTTATCGTTGAATTACCAACAAAGCACAATATGTGAATTCATGTACGAAATTCACACTTTTCATGTCGGAACATGTTATTTGTGAAGAAAAGTAGTGCCACGACAATATTTATACGTTTTTTTGGTGTTAGGTTGATGATAATTTGCGCCATTTGTTTATATATTTGATATAAATAATAACTTTTAAATTAAAATAATTTAAATTTCATTTTAATTATTTAAAATATAAGTTTTAAATTTATAAAGTCATATTTTAAACAAAGTTCCATAATTAAACACACTTCTCGGATAAATACAAGAAGTTATCGATATTTTTTTTAAATCTATTTTACGAGAATTATTGTAATTTTATTTTAATTAATAACTGAAAATCTATTAAAACATTTTTCAACTTTAAATCAATTTGAATGTAAATTAAAATTTTTAATAATTTACTATACCGCTATATTTAATAAAAAACAGTTAATTATTTTAATACATAAAATAATAAAAGATTGGAAGTATGCTTCCGCATAAAATGATAACATAAGGCGACTATATCTAATACCTTTTATTCCACTTTCTACTCGTCTTTTAGCTTTTATTTTGGTTTTTCCTTTATATCTTTCATTATTTATTTCATTATTCTTTCATTATTTGTGTTAATAAAATAAAATTTATAATTTTTTTTAGTTTCCTTTTATTGTATCATATTACTTATTTTGTTTTATTTGATTTTTATTTCATTTTCTTTATATGTATACGCGATTGATTCATATGTGTTAATTTAATGAAATTTTTATTTATTTTATTCTCTTATGCATCAATATTTATTGTTTATTTGCAAAGTTTGAATTTTTATCATATTTTATTTTGTTTTCATATTTTGCTTATTTATTAATTGCTAATTTGTTATTTTGTATGCTATGAAATATTTTATAATTTTTATACAGTGAAAATTCTAGTTATGGACATCCCTCTTGGGTGATCAATTTTTCTAAAACAAACGTTTGTTTTTTATAATATTTCTTATTTACCCCTTTTTTTTTTATCAAATTACCCCTCTTTAAACGAACAAAAGTTAAATGACAAGTTTCCACTCAAGAGAATTTCCACTGTATTTTATTTATTTTTATTTTATCTTTTACATATTATGTGTCTTTTTTATTTTTTTTCTATTTTATTTTATCGTTTTTTTACTTTATTTTTATTATGTCTTTTTTATTTTGTCTTCTTTATTTTATCTTTTTTATTTTGTCTTTTTTATTTTGTCTTCTTTATTTTATCTTTATTTTAGTTTTCCTTAATTACTTACATGCTTTGTTATACAATATTTTATCGTTTTTTATTTTTTTTATTTCCTTCGTATTTCAATTCCTGAGAATTTCACAATTTTTGAAGAAATCTTAGCTTTGCCAAAAACTATGCAATGAATTTTAAATAATTTTTTTTTATTACAAGAAAAATCATATTTTGAATAGTAGTTCGTTCCTTTTGTCTACTATTTTAATTTTAATTAAAATATTATACGGCATTATAGTGTCACCAGACCAATCCATAGGATCACTGTTGTGACCTATTTGCCTTACCGGTTTAAAATACAATATTAATTTTTTTATTTGTTCGGATTTTATTCATAAATTCAAAAATAAAAATTTTTTTTTATATTACTTAATTTATTTTTAATTAATTGTTATATCGACCTATATATCAATAAAATTTATTTCTGCCGGGCTTAAGATCGGTTATTTAACCATTAAATTTTTAGTATATTTTTAAAAAATATTTTTTGTACAAATATACTATCTTTAGTACAAAAAAAAAACAATTTACAACTTAAGTGTTAAATAACCGATCGGTTAAAATATAATTTATAAATTATTTTATTCAAATATTTATTATTATGTATTATATTGTATATTGTTCACTTATTGAATAAAGCAAGTAATGCATGTATTAAAAAATATAAATTGAATACATTTTATTTATAATTTATTTTATTTATTATTTACATTTATTTTATTTATTTATTATTCTTTATATTTATTTGCTATTAATATGTGTTGATATAGTATATTTTATGAAAATTAAGTCTGTAATTATTATATATTATAAAACATTTACTTGGTTTTATATATTTATTATTATTTATTAAAAAATTAGATACTATTTTTTAGTAATTAAAAAACAATAAATTAATTAATTTAATCATAAGCCTGGTTCAATTAATTTTTATTATTT